TAAGCCTCAGTTTAATCATTTGTGAAACAGGAATATTGTGTACCTGAATAAAACCGTGGCCATATGTAATGAGTTCATGCACATAAAACACATGCATGTTTTTAATAATTATTACTGAGCTACCCAATTTCCCCCTTCATTTTAGAATAAATAATATATACCAACTTGTTTCAATCCAGGCAAACTAGAATGCCGTAAAGAAAATAAGAGGAATCCCCAAAGCAAAAAGGAGGGGGGTCCCCAAAACATGAAAATAGTTCTAGTTCAGAAAATATTTAATAGCGTGTTGTAAAAGTTGAAGTCAACTATATTATTTTCCCCTTTTAGTTAGTAGTTTTGGAAATCAGTATCTATTAATAAACCCTGGGAGAACATTGTGGGGAGATAGGAAGAACCCCATTTTCCATTTATGTCATTTATTAACTAAATGACATTGTTTAGACCTCCTAGAGTCTCTGGGCCTTTCTTGTCACAGGTCTAGTTTAAGAACTTTTTCTTCTAGATAAAAATGAAAGGGGAGTAGGATACAGGCATGCTGGAATCAGTGGAGCAATCCTGTCTTGCAGAACACACAGATTCTGTTCTCCTCCCTGAATCCATTCTCCTTTCTACCTCCTCTGACAAAATCACCCTGTCTCCTTCCTACACAACATTGTTGGAAGACAACATCCATGCCCTACCCCTTCCCTTCTTCACAGAATTCCCATTTTATTTCTTTATCTGTTTTGCTTTGAGAGGACTTACTATTCAGGAGATGCTGGTGTGAGCCCCAAGCCCAGCCTAACTAATTGATGTAAGCCAGTTATGATGCTATCATTCCATTTTTTGGTTTTGTTTTGAAATTTAGAAACAAATTTTATTTAAGATCTGAAGTACAATTCCTAAAATATCAACTTTTCCAGAAAACTGTGACTATACAATAACATATTGCCTCTATCATGTTAGAATGTACATTAGACTCAAATACAAAAACCAAGAAACAAACCACCATCCTTCAACAATTTGAGGAAAGAAAGAATGCCTACACAATGACATGCATGGATTTGCAGAGGATGGGCTATTTTACTGTAAGCTCCATAAAAAAAAAAAAAAAAAGCAGAAGCATGTGGGTTTTGGGGTATACACATTAAGTTGAAGCTTTGGCACTAGGAATCAAGGCATTTTGACACACAGCATTTAACACACATTAGAAAATGTGTAGTGTCAAGGGATAGAACCACCAGCGTTCACGTGGTGTTGTCAACTAGGCAATAAAATGTTCTATTAAATGTTTCTTCTTTGTCTAATTACTGCATAAACTGGTAGCAACTTTGAAATGAGGAAGGGAGTTTTCACTCCCTTTATTTTCTGTTTAAAACAGAACAGAAAACAAACTGAAACATAAGCCCTGCTATACATTAACAATCTTACTTCATTTTTTTTTTTTTTTTCTGATACTGGGGATTGAGCCCAGAGTCTAGGCAAGTGCTCTACCATGGATGAACATCCCTAGCCCTATCTTAACAGTTTTAAAGGACATCAGCTATAGAAAAAAAAGAAAAAGCTAAGAATAGAATTGTGTTTACAGATACCAGATGTAACAGTGAGTGATCAGTAGAACCTCTCACAGAGCTTTGTGGTATTACTGAGCAGAAGCTATTTTGTAATTACTGGCGGTTAACAGAGATGCAGAATTCTTTGCCAGATATTTTAGGAAATCATACAGATAGCTCAATAGTAATGCAAGGTTCTTGTCATCAAAGAGAGCATAGGCCAACTTGATCAAATTCTTACAAATAATCTCTGTAGGTGTGGCGCTCCATAAACCTGGGACGCTGGCGCATTAGGGTGGGCCAAAAGGATTTTGGCATACTGGGGCCTCTCACATTTATAGAGCAGCTAAGTGCCCAATATCACATTGGAATACTCTTATTCCTGCCACAACTTTATATACTGCTTACTCCTTATTATTGACATTTTCCTGTGATTTCTTACAAATTTTAGAATAGCACCTACGTCCTCAGCAGAGAGTTGAAACTGCTGCTTCTGCCTGGTTACTAAGTTCCACTCCTCAACAAGCCAAGGTTGTAATTCTTGAGGAATCTTCACTTTAACTTCCATTCCATTGTTAAATGTCTGTTCACTTTCCACAGTGGGATCTCCCTGCCCCCCTCTTTTTTTCTGGGGGTAGGATGCTGGAGAGCTTTGCTGGTACTGCCACCATCTCCATTTCCAGGAGTCTTCTGTCCGTTCTTTCTTGTCTTCCTCACAGGTTCTGAAGGGGGGTTTTATGCAGAGTGCCCCTACCCCCATCTTCCTTGGAGAGTTGGCTCAAGATTCTTTGACTGTGAATTAGTTGTCTTTTTTCTTGAGGAGGCACCTTTCACCATACTTCTCTGCATATTGCTTTGAGTTGGTTTTTTGAAGTTGTCTTCTGCAGGGGGTTGTCTACGAGTTTGAAAACCCCTCTTTCTAGAACTCATTCAACCCTGTTTTTCTTTCAAACAACAATCTTCCTTCTTTCCCTTCCAAGAACTCCTAATGATTTTCCAGATGGACTCTTATGGATCTTCTGGGATGATCTGGAAGGATGAAGTGGGAGATACAACCCCAGATTCTGTAGTCAGGGATGGTTCTGCAATAAGGATCAGATTTTCTGATCCTTACTTATGGCAGACTTAGCTTTTCTGATGGTGACCTGAAATGAGAATCCAGTTCTTTCTAGCAGCTGCCATGTGATCACTACTGTGTCCCCAACTGCCATAGTCACTACCATTCTTTGCCAATGTTTGGATTTGAGCAACGAGATATGAAAGGAACTCTTCCCTCTCTCCTGAGAGATACACACAGAGGAAGAGAATCTTTTCTTCCTTGGAACTTTCGTGGGATGAGATCTCACAGCTGGAATGTTGCCTCTGTGGTCATGAAGGGAGGCAGACTGAGGAAGCCAGAAGGATGGCAGAATCTAGGTCCTTTGGTTGTATTCTTCAACAGCTGAATTACTCAACTCTGCGACCTCTCTACTTTGGCCTCATGCAAGATAACAAATTCCCATTGTGACTTATACACATTTGATCCAGAAGTTTGTTACTTTCATCTAAAAGCATTCTTTCTTTCCAATCCTAGATGTTACACATTTAATACATAGTTGTGTTTTCAGAACAATGTGTAATTATTTTGTGCTCTTTACACAAATGATTTCGTATCAAGCAACTTTTTTTTTTTTGCTTGACATTTAATTTGGAGAATTTTTGCCATGTTGATACACTGTAGGCATTACACAATATTCCACTGTATGATGATAGCACAGTTTATTTATCCATACACTTACTGATGGGCATTAATGTTAAAATTTCCACTATTACAGATGGTACTTCAGTAAATATTTTGTTCAATGATGCCATGTGAACATATGTGAGTTTCTTCAGTTCTGTACTGTCCAATATTGTAGCCAATAGACACATGTGATTATGTGAATTAAAATTAGTGGAAATTAAAAAATTGGTCATTGCTTGCATTAATCACATTTTAAGTGCTCAATCAACAGATTACTATTGGACAGCATGGGCATGGACAATTTCTGTCTTTGTGGAAAGTTCTTTTGGATAGTGCTCCTCTGGGACAGTGCTGCTCAATATTTTTTCACAACATAGCACACACAGGAAATTATAATATTTGTACAGTTCCCTAAGATGAATAACAAGGCTTGATCAGGTAGGAGAATACTGGCTCAGGGACTCTGGCTGCCTGAGACCATTCTCAGTTGCCCCAAGGTGTGAGGGTTCCATGATATCTCCATAGTAACTCATTTACTGTGCACCACTAAGTCTACACTTAACCTTAGAATGTGTATCTAGAAGTGGTGTTGCTGGTCCATAGTACATACACACATTGTTTCCAAAGTAGTTTTAATTGTTCATTCCTGCACCAGCAGTAAATGCAAGGTCCTCTTTTCCTGTGGCCTTGGGAGCACTTGGTAGTGGGAGACTCTATATTTTTGCAAATGTGATGGATGTGAATTAATTAATATGCCATTACTTTAATTTGCATTTCCCTTGTTTTTGGTGAGGTTGAACATTATTTCACTAATGTTATTTCTTTCTGAGAATTTCGTGTTCAGATTCTTTGTCTATTTTGCATCACCTATTTATCATTTTAATTAACTTGAATTATTTATATTTTTTGGATACTAGCTCACTTGTTAGTTATATTAACACAACCATTTATTTTGGTCAGTAACTCACCTTCTAACTTTGTTTATGATATATGCCATGGCACCAAAGTTTAATTTTTTTATTATTAAGATTATTGAGCTGGGTGCATGTCTATAGTCCCCTCTACTGGAGGCTGAGATAGAAAAAGATTCCTAGAACCCAGAAGTTTGAGGCCAACTTCAGCAACATAGCAAGACCTGGTCTCAATAAAGCAAACACACAACATAAACAAGATTATCAAGCTTTTCCTCTGTGTTTGAGCTATAAATATTTCCTTGTGTAATAAAGATATTCTCTTACATTTTCTTCTAAAGGTTTTCAAGTTCTACTTTCACATAGAGGAATTTCATTTCTTATATCAAGAATTAACTTTTAAATTTTTAAAAGTCAAAAAAGTTCCCATTCTATAATGTTTGTAAAATGTATATTCCATAAATATATTTTCTTAAAAATAAATAATCTTTGGAAGTGTCTAAAACCTCTAGTTTAAAAATTTTTTTTTAATTGTTGATAGACCCTTATTATTATTTTTTATTTATATGTGGTGCTGAGAATCAAACCCATGCTTCACACATGCCAGGAAAGTGCCCTACCACTGAGACCCAGCCCCAGCCCCTACAACCTCTAGTTTTATATTTCTATTAGGAATACAGTGAGGATTATTTTATTTTATTTTTCACTTTACACTGGAGTGGTTAAATGTTTGTCATCTTGTATATTTGTACTCAACTTTCTCTAATTTGAATTACCAAGGCCAAAGGTCACTGTCTCTCCCCTTCTGTTACCTGGGTTGTCTCTGTCTTCCAGCATACCCTACTTTGAAACTAGTGCTGCCAATGGGACAAACATAAGTCAGGCGATTGAGATGCTCCTGGACCTGATAATGAAGCGAATGGAACGGTGCGTGGACAAGTCCTGGATTCCTGAAGGAGTGGTGCGATCCAATGGCCACACCACTACAGATCCATTAAATGAAGAAAAGAAGGGGACATGTGGTTGTTGAAAACTCAAGTGTGCGGCACCATATTTCAGATGGCCCGTGTCTGTGACCTTCCCTATGGCTGACACAAGGCACAGTGAGATTAATAGGTTTGTGTACAAACTGCTTTTCCTCATCTCCCTTAGACCTACTAACTAAGCATCCAGTCTTTAATTTGTTGCAGCTTTGTAAACATTTAAGATTCAGCCTGAGATTTAGGAAAAATATTTCACAGAGCCAAAAGTGCCTTTTACAACCTTAGCCCATGAGAGTAAATCATTCAAGAACTGGTAACCACAGAAGAGTGTATTACACGGAAAATACCACCTGCCTTAATGCAAATAGACCTAGAGTCTCACATTAAGATCTTAGGTATAGTTATGAAATAATCACAGTTTTGAATCCAAATTTACAAACTCCTACCATAGGTAACCTTCTAAAATCGCCATTTTAACCACTTGAATGTTAAATAAGAATATAAATACACATCAGATTAGTGTCTTTGAGCATTAATTTGATTAAGCATTCCCTTTAACATGAATAGAGGGCAAATCATGGCAGAATCTATAGATCCTGGATAAACTGGATTGATGATAAACTGATCGTGACTGTAGACTCATTATGATTTTTGTTGGTTGGAAAAGGGTTGGGGTTCGAGGCAGAGGTGGCTTAATTAGTATGAGCAAGTAAAGCTACATTCCCATTGCTCTAAGGACCAATAGAAGGATCAGGAACTAGATTTCACAGCTTCAGTGCATTTATAGTTGGCCTGTATCCTGGGCACATCTGAACACGGCTGGTGTTTATTCTGTATATGTGATAAGTAAATATTTAGCTTGTTTTTCTTCATATTTATAATGTTGGTCTGGCATCCTCTGACTGCAGTTTCAATTAGCTTATAGACTACTAATCTTCTATCTTCACCATTAGGCTCTGTATGGTTGATATTTGCAACTTGTTTTATTTTTTCATTGGTGCAATTGAAGAAATTTGTTTTTAATTGTGTAGAATGTCTGTTTGCTATTTGTCAGAAGATAAATGGATTTGTATTCTAGTTCAATCTAAGAGAAACTGAAGTGTTCTATAGCTTGTATTTTTCACTGGGATCATGGGTGTTTACTGTACTTGCTCGGTCTTGCCAAGATCATGTATTCTGCTGTCTTGCCAAAGTGTCTTCATACCAAATTAAAGGTGGTTTTAAAATATACTTCATGGAAATAGCTTATAAAGCTCAAAGGTATTTCATTTTGAGGAAAATTCTTATTTATTAAAGTGGTTTAAATATTGTAGATTAAAATTTCTAGAGAGCTTAGTGGTTGTTTAGAAGAAACATCACTTATTATAATTTAAATAAAAATAAATGTATTTTGTGGCAGCAAATATTTGGCAGAACTGTAACTAGAAAAATACAAGTAGGAAGAAAAATTTACTTTCCAATAAGTTTCATCTGGCCTTTTATTGAACACTTACCATGTTTTTTGTTTTTGGCTCCTGCCTTTTTACCACTCCTGTAACAAACCTAACCATGATACTAAGATTTTACATATTTCTATTCTTGAAATGAGGGCTTCTTTTAAATACCAAATAAGTCATTCAAGCCTACACATTTGAACAGTATTCTAATGAGGAAGATATCCAGATGTTTCAAGGGCAGGGCCATAATCATACAGCAGTGCCTTCTAAAGCTGCCATAAGACTTCAGTGGAGTGTGCCTTAATTAAGCAGTTATATATCAGGGCACATTTTATGTGGTCTATTTGTATAATTAAAAGTAAGTCAAGGTTTCAGTTTTCAAGAATCGGATGTATAAGTAGCTACAAATTCTATTGGCCTTAAACACAGCACACAATCAAATGTATGCATAACAGTGCACACTCAAGAACCACCTTTATTAAATAACCAGTATTCTCTTTGAAAATCATTTGTTTAAATTTGATATCAAAGTACCATATTTTTGTGTGTCAATGTATTTTTCTATTTACAATCCCGTGTAAAAGTAAAGCATATCTTCAGTGAACCTTATGCTTACTAAGAGATAATAAAAGAGTGATCTAATCTGTCAAGTTTGTGTGTGATCATAACTTCATTTCTCATCACAATATTTCCAATCACAAAAAGGTTGTCATGCTAAGGGACAGATTCCATTAGATTCTCATTAAGGTCCAGTAAAATAACATTCTGGAAAAAATAATTCAAAATATTATAATCTCATATTATTGAGCATCTATATTGTAAAAAGTGTTGTACTAGGCAACTCAGATAAACAAGGATGGTTAAAGCTTGAATTAAGATCAGAACTGAGAGACAATGGAAGAGACAATGGGAAGGGTATATTTACTAACTGGATAAGGAGGAAATGTGTAGAGAGGCGGCCAATATGACCTTATTACCTATCACTGTCCTTATAACTCACATTTTTCTGGTGCATCAGCTTCCCTGGAACAGTGAGTATGTTCCTGCCTCAGAGCACTTGCAATTTTTATTCCTGCTGTCTCGAATGCTAGTATTCCATGTTATCTGTGTGGCTTCCTTTTCTACCCTTTTAGACTGTTCATATGTCACCTGATCTAGAAGGACTTTACAGACAACTTTATGTAAGATAGCAGTCACTTCCTTTCATAGCCCCAACCAAGCTGTCATTCTCTGACCCATTATCCTGCTTGCTTTTCTTAATTTCACTCACAGCTACTCAATATATTTATGTTTCTCCCCATTCACTAAGATATAAGCTCCACAAGGACAGAGATGGGGAGTTTGTCAAAATTGTGTTCCATCACCTGGGCTTGGTATATAACTGGTACTCAAATGTTTGTCAATTGAGCAAAGAACTTAAGAGGTAGGAGGATCAAGTGAAAGAGTTTTTAATACAGGAGTCACTATTGATATTAAAAGATACTGGAGTAGAATTTGAAAACAAAAACGGCATAAAAATGTTTAGAAAGGCTCATATCTAATAGGTTTGTATTGATTCATTATAAGAAATCAGGAAATTTGAGAAGTACATTCTTATCCTGTGACATATCAAGATGGCTAACAATCTAAGAAATGTTCAATAAGGAATATTTCGTTTTGCATTTTTATAAATGCGATAGTTGCATTTTCCAGGTCTTTTTTTGACAGTTGGTGACTATATAACTAGAACATGTTTCCATTATAAAATACTTAGATAATGCTGGATAAAATTTAAAGAACCTATCTTAAATGTATAATTTCTCAAGAAGGTAAGTGATGCCCCAAGACTATCTTTTTCTCCTCAAAAAGGACAACAGAGGCAACTTAAAACAACTTGATGTTGAAAGTGGTTTGCTTTGGGTTTGATTTTGCCAGTATCAGTAGTTGAGATGCTTGGTCTTAACAGCTGTGTACTGTTTGAATCTGTTAGAAGTAGGGTGCTGGAACTGAGAATTCTCTTTCCCAAATACACAGCCAGGATTTGGTCTATGTCCTTAGTTTCCTGTGATAGCTTATAACCATAAGTCTGCTCTTTACAAGGTTTGAGATTCAAGTTTATATGATCTAATTTTTCTAGGAAAAATAAACTAAAAGTTAACATTGAAAAACTCGACTCTCTGTGGAATGAATACTTAGTAAAAGCAATCAAAATTTGTTCAGAAGAAACATCTTTACATAGACCTTGTTAAAATCCTGAAGAAAACACCCAACTATGGTTGAGCCACAATTTCAAATTAGAATCCATTCCTTCCTAACCCTTACTCCAATCATGAATAAGGCCAAGAGGAGTTGGCATTTAAGAACTTCAAATAATGTATTCAAAAGGAGACCACAAAGTACAAATGTTTTTAAATAATTACAAACACTAAAGAAATGAAAAATCTGGGTGAAGAAGACAACAATATTAAAGATGTTGAACTGAGTTAAGTCCTAATAAAAAAAAAAATTCCAGAATGAAAACTATAGAAGATAGCTGAGTTTTCCATTAATGATAAAAGACACACGCCCTCAGACTCAGGAATCATATGTGCCAAAACAGGATGAATGAAAAGAAACAATATTGCCAAGATTTCATAACCATTAGTTAGATGTGGAATACATTTTTCTCCCCTTCCTTTTGGGTTTAATTATACTAGTTCTGAAAGAAAATAAAAATTTGTGTGGCTAGTTACTCGCCCATTCAAACTAATGTGAATCACTGAGTATGATCATAGTCTGAAGGGAAGAGTTTCAGAGGAAGCCATAGGGTATGGGACTAAGAACATATGAAAGATGTGGCCAACGACACCAAAGATAAAAGGAGGCTGCTCGTGGGGGTAGGAAGGGTAGGGCAGTTCTTGTTGAAGTAACAAAATAAAACGGAGTTGGAAGGAAACGGGGTAAAGAGGTCAGGAACACTGGGGAGTCTTTTCTTTAATTGTCCAGGAGGATAGGAGAAGGAGATTCAAGAAAAGCAAAATAATTTTCCATCTCTTGGTTTACTGTTAAGTGTGACTCATGCCAATGAGGGGTAACAGGCATCGGCGAGATGTTGAAAAGGCTGAACCGCACGTTCAGCAGTGTTATAAAGAAGGAGTACAGAAAGACACAAACACACACGATTGTTACACCTGCCAAGTCTGGGGCAGAAGTCAGGGCGGGCAGTGAAATACGAGTTCTTAGAGACAGCCCAGTGTGTGGAGAGAACTTTGGGCAAAACACAATAAAGAAAAGACATAAGACGCGTAAACGCCAAGAAAAATTAGGCGTTGTGACAGAGCTCGAAGGACGGCACAGAGCCACGTCTGGCTTTCCCAGTCTGATCGAGGCTGCAGCTCTGCGCCTGCGCCAAACGACCGCGCTTTTGCTTGCGTGGCCGCGAGGAGGCGCAGTCGTGTTCGGATAGCATCCCAGGGGCGCTCAGACACTGGCCTTTTCCGGGTCGGAGGCGTGGACGAGAATCACTTCCTGTGACGCCGCGCGCCACTTCCTCCTTCAGCTCGCCGTTGGGTCGGTGGGGACACACGCGGCCTCAACATGCGTATCGAGAAGTGTTATTTCTGTTCAGGGCCCATCTACCCCGGCCACGGCATGATGTTCGTCCGCAATGATTGCAAGGTGAGGCGGCCGAGGCAAGCGTCTGCCCAGCCGCGCTCCCGCGGGCCCAGAACGCGCCCCCTCGGCTCCGGGTTTTGCGGAGCCTGCGGGGTGTGGTCTGGGTTCTCCGCGCTGCTCTGGCGAGAGAGCCGGCCGCCTACTCGGCTTCTCTGTCCTCAGTCCAGCTTGGAGAATTGCTCCTTGCTGTTGTCGCGAGCGGAGCTTTCCACCAAGGCCATCTTGGGCGGGTTGGCTGCGCTGGGATTGAGGAGCGATCCTAACCAGCATCACCGGGGATCCCGGGGCGTCTGTTGGGGCTGTTTGATCGTTATTGGGTCAGGGCCAATTCCTGAAGCCAGTAAACTGTTGAACTCATGTCTCATCAAGCATATGCGAAGGACCGTGTCCCTAGGGACGAACAAGATATGGGACTGTCCGCAGTGCGTAGAGACTGATGGAAATGTTTTTTTGCTAAATAGGAAAGTTAGGTAGAGTTACTGGAGGTGAGTTGTGGAGGGTCATGTATAGAGAAGGTTGGAATTGGAAGTGACATGTATACCGGATTTTGAATACTGCATAAGAAACTAGAGGAGTCGGGCATGGTAGCATATGACTGTAATCCCAGCGACCTGGGAGGCACAGGTAGTGTAGAGGGCAGCCTCAGCAACTTCGCAAGGCCCTGCCTCAAAATTTTTAAAAAAGGACTGGGCAGTTACCCATGTGGAGAAAGGAGAGGGCATTCTAGATTGAAGGAAAGTTAAAAGTTTGAGCAAAGATAAGGAACAGAGCTATTATATTTCTGAGGAAGTGGTTGGATTGTAAATGATAGAGGCTTGGGACTACAGATACGGAAATAAGCCTGTGAACATAAACATAGACATGCCTAGTTGTGAATGACTTTGTGAATGATAAATGAATTTTCCCTCTTGTATCAGAATGAACCTTATTCCTCCAGTTCCTAGAATTGAACTTGTCTTACATTTGTGTCTGAATTACTAGACACCTGTTAAATATACAGATTCCTGGTTTTCATAACCTCTGTGGAGTTGGAAACTTTGTTGGAGAAGGGAAGAGGATGTGAAAGGCGATTTTGACATAAAATTGTAGATCCTACTATATGACTTTATACCTCTGTTATAGACCAGAGGTGTTAACCTTATTAAATTAAGAGCAAGGGATCCTGCTGGAGGATAGGGACCAAACCTCTTTGGGAACTTAAAGCATGTAGAAGATTTTGAATACTTCCTGGTAGGAACACAGAAATTTATAAAAACAAAAAGATTGCAAGATTGGGGTCTCATTCCCAGTGGGCAGTGTGGTTTGTAGATGATCTGGTCATCAGGATCTCATGATTTTTATCCAGTAGTGCTTCTCAGCTGGATATTGGAATTGTAACAACTTCATGAGAACTGTTGAGCTGGGTTTTGATTTGGTAGACACAGTGGAAGTTCAGGGTGATGAGGAAGTCTTTGTTGCTATCAAAGATAGTGTTGAATTGGCCAGGAGTTAGTTTGGTCCAGAGGAAGACCAGTAGACCCAGAACAGAGTTGATTATGGGAATGATTGGAGGTAGAGGCCCTGAAGCACTGACAAAGAAGAAATTTCTCATCGTTTTTATGTTGATGATTCCTGAATCTGTATCTCCTCAGCTCTATATCTGAATTTTCCATTGGGTGGGGAAGTTCTGCATGTATCTCAGTGGATCTACTGAAAAAGAAATTCTTACTGCCTCAAATCTTTTTGCTTTTTGAATTAATACCACCCCTCTTCTTAAGGTAGTTTTGTTAGAAACAGAGAGTCATTGAATTTTTCATCTTTTGTGTTTACTTTTTCCAAGTCTTATCCATTTTGCCTCTGCAAGAATAATGATATCTTAACATTCTTTCTGTCCTTCCAATTTGAACTTGGTATGTGTTACCTGTATAGCCTCCTAACTAGTCTTTCAGGTTTTATGGTCTTTGCTCATGAGACTCTTTTTTAAAAAAGAATTTTTTAATTTGTAGGTGGACACAATACGGTTATTTTATTTATATGTGGTGCTGAGGATCGAACCCAGTGCCTCCTGTGTGCTAGGCAAGCGATCTACCACTGAGCTATAACACCAGACCTCATGAAGTCTTTGATAGTTACTTCTCCTCTTACTCTTCTTAGGAGGCTTCACAGGGCAAAGTTAGTGCTATTGCTCTATATTTTCCCATACTTACATACACTGTTAATGAGGGCTTAATAAATGTTGGTTGGATTAGTGGAAAAAGAAAGGTTGGAACAGTGTTAGGCCAGGGTAGTTTATGAATCATTTATTGGTATGTTGAAGACTGAAGATGGTAAGGGACTAGATGAAAAGGAAATGTGAGCCTGTGAAGCTTTGGCTTATACATAGTCCATCCATGGCCTACCCAGCATAGATTTAACCACTTCCTAATGTATTTTTTTTATTATTACTTTATACGTTATTTATATAGTTTTAAAATCTCATTGTTTATTTCTTGGTCTGATCTCAAATCTTTTTGTTTGCAAAGTAAGACTCACATTGTTAGATTAAACTTCTTAAGATAGGGCACTATGTTTTAATTATTCTGATATCCCTACCAGCTAGTAGAACCTCAGGCTTGCAGGTGGTCCTTATTTGCTAATTGAATCCTATCCTATCTCCAGTGACTCCAATCTCTTCAAATACTTCATTCTGCTATTCAGATAATACCTATTAGGTGTGGAGTCAAGTAGACTTCCTATAGGCTCTGTTTGGAGTTGACAAGACCCAGAACAAGTTCAAACCCATCATTATCTAGATTGAGAAATGAGGATTCACTTAGGGCTTATCTATTAGGTATTAAATGTTGGAAACTTTTATTTAAAAGTTGATATTATTTGAGCTGAAAGTACTAAAATACAGTTTACTGATAACAGTTCCTGGTGGGTTACTCTAGGAGCTTGTAGTAGTTCTCATGTTTTTTAGTTGATTTGAAATTAACCAAATGTTGTCATTCAGATTTTTTAAGAGGGCTCTCTAGGTTTGTGTATAGATTGGTTTAAATTGGTATTGAAGGGAAAGTTTCTTACTGTGTGTAGTGACCTGCTTGAAGTTCCCTATAGAACAGTGTATATAAAAGTGAGCAATATTAAGATTTGTGATATACACACAGGCTTACTTAAATTACTTATACTGTTCTTTTAACATATTTAATTGTGTCACATCTTCTACGTAAGAGACTTCAAGTTAACCAGGATCCATAAGCTCAAAGAATTACTTTTAATATTTCCTCTACTAATATACACAAATTGAATTGTGTTCTATAATACTGCAAAGTAACAAAATAATGCAATTTAGACTTATAAAAACAGGGACACATTGAAGCATCATTAAGTTATAACTTAACTATTAATTAAAGGATCAGATCTTTGAGAATGAAAGTGGCAAATCAAAGTAATAAACTCTTATTATTAGATCTGTCAATACATTCTTTAGAATTAGACAATCTATTGTTGGTTTGAAATTTGGTGGTTTTATCCAGATGAAAAGATATCAATCAAAGAAGATTTCAGAATGATTGTTTGAAACTTTTGCCCCCATTGGAATAAATAGAACCTTAATTTTGAGAATTATCCTGAATTGAGAAGGGACTTAAAATAGCTTTTCTTAAAACTGTTTCCTTTATTCAAGATCATTGTAAGGTATTATTTTTTATTATTTGATAACAATGATTAGTAGCTTTTATTTATATTTTCAGGCCCCTTATCCTTTAGTTGGGGTAATGTTTAACAATTACAAACGAGTTCTGTTTTCATTTATTCTCACATGTCTCTCACATTTCTAAATGGTTTAAGTAGAAAGAATTATGAGTGGAAACCGTTGTCATTTCTCAGACTTTATAATTTTTTTTGTTTTACAGGGGTAACATCTTATGATAGGACAATTTTTAACGTTGACCTTTTTTAATATTTTTTAACTTTTCTTGTAGGTATTCAGATTCTGTAAATCCAAATGTCATAAGAACTTTAAAAAGAAGCGTAATCCTCGCAAGGTCAGATGGACTAAAGCATTCCGGAAAGCAGCTGGCAAAGAGCTTACAGTGGTGAGTATAGTTAGCTGTTAATATGATTTTTACATTTTCCAAAATTTAGTTTGGGGGGAGGGTTTATGTATCTAATTAACCATAACAGGGGTTCTTATAACATGATTGTGAGTATTTCATTATATTTGGTTATAATCTTATTCTCCCATGATCCTAAAAATCATCATTCTGTAGGCTTTTGAAAAAGAAAAAATCACCAGTTTTATAGAAGTTGTTTCTTATCCTTACAAGACTAGCTCTCGAAAACAAAGGAAAACTATTTAAGTGGATTGAGGTACAATTGGAAATTGTTGTTCAATGATTTTTTTGGGGGGTTATTTTATTTGTTCTTTTTAGATATACATGACAGTAGAGTGTATTTTGACATATTATACATACATGGAGTATAACTTATTCTAATTACGATCCCATTCTTGTGGTTGAACATGATGTGGAGTTACACTGGTCATGTGTTCATACATCAGCATAGGAAATTTATGTCTTGATTGATTCTACTGTCTTTCCTATTCCCATCTCTCTCCCTTCTCTTCATTCCCTTTTGTCCAATATAATAAACTTATGTTCTTCCCTCCCCCTCCCTCTTATTGTGTTTTAGCATCTGCATATCAGAACATTGGCCTTTGTTTTTTGGAGGATTGACTTATTTCACTTAGTGTGATTGTCTCCATTTCCATTCATTTACCAGCAAATGCCTTAATTTCATTCTTCTTTATGATTGAGTAATATTCCATTATGTGTATGTTCCACATTTTCTTAATCTATCCATCTGTTGAAGGGCACCTATGTTGGCATAGCTTAGCTATTGTGAACTGAATTGCTGTAAACATTGATGTAGCTGTGTCACTGTAGTATGCTGATGTTAAGTCCTTTGGTTATACACTGGTGAGTGGGATAACTGGGTCAAATGATGGTTCCATTCCAAGTTTTCTGAGGAATTTCCATACTGTTTTTCACAGTGTTGTACTAGTTTATAGTCCCATAAGCAGTGTATGAGTGTACCTTTTTTCCAACATCCTCACCAACATTTATTGTGACTTGTATTCTTCATAATTGCCATTCTGACTACAGTGAGGTGGAGTCTTAGTGTAGTTTTAATTTGCATTTCTCTAATTGCTAGAGATGTTGAATATTTTTTCATATATTTGTTGACCATTCATATTTCTCCTTCTGTAAAGTGTCTGTTCAGTTCCTTGCTCATTTATTGATTGGGTTATTTGTTTTTTGGTGTTAAATTTTTTGAGTTCTTTATATATCCTGGAAATTGAGGCTGTATAGGTGGCAAAGATTTTCTCCTGTTCTGTAGGCTCTCCATGTTAATTGTTTCCTTTGCTGTGAAGAAGCTTTTTAGTTTGATACCATCTCATTTATTGTTTCTTGATTTTACTTGTTGCACTTTAGGAGTCTTGTTGAGGAAGCTTGTTCCTAAACCGACACAATGGAGAGTTGGGCGTACGTTTTCTTCTAGTAGGCACATGGCCTCTAATGCCTAGGTCCTTGATCCACTTTGAGTTGAATTTTGTGCATGGTGAGAGATAGGGCCTTAATTTCATTTTGCTATATTTGAATTTCCAATTTTCCCAGCACCATATGTTAAAGAAGCTATCTTTTCCCTAAGGTACTTTTATGGCGCCTTTGTCTAGTATGAGATAACTGTATTTATGTGGGTTTAGTTTTCATGTCCATTTTGGTGCCAATACTATGCTGTTTTTTATTACTATAGCTCTGCATTATAATTTAAGGTCTGGTATTGTGATGCCTCCTGGTTCACTTTTCTTGATGAGGATTGCTTTGGCTATTCTGGGCTTATTTTTTTCCAAATGAATTTCATGATTACTTTTTCTGTGAAGAATGTCATTGGAATTTTAGTAGGAATTGCATTAAATTGTATAGCGCTTTTGGTAGTATGGACATTTTGACAATATTAATTCTGCTTATCCAAGAATGTGGGAGATCATTTTATCTTACAAAGGTCTTCTTCAATTTCTTTCTTCAGTGTTCTGCAGTTTTCATTGTCAAGGTCTTTTGCGTCTTTTATTAGATTGATTCCCAAGTATTTTATTTTTTATTGAAGCTATTGTGAATGGGGTGGTTTTCCTAATTTCTCTTGCAGTTGATTCATCACTGGTGTATAGGAACACAATTGGTTTATGCTATTCAAGGATTTGAGAGGAAACTAGGAGATTAAAGGATTCTTGAATGGCAGTTCAAGATGAGGTTTGTAATAACACTCATTTGTCAGTTTCTGATTGTTAGTAGTTTTGGTATTAAGAGAAATAGTGGGAAGTCTAGAATGAGATTTCATTGGATGTATCACACTGATCATATTGATGTTATTGAGTTGATAAAAGGATCTATTAATGCTTGTTCCCTGTAAAGGGAGACAGTGAAGGCTATAGTATGGGCTAGCTTTGAGGGAAAAAGAATTTTAAACTGTCCCTTATTCTACGGCCTCTTCTTCCTTCAGAACCCATAACCTTTTTCCCTCTGCACTATTTAAGGGTGGTATCTACAAACATTTGGCATGAATCCCTTTTCTGGCTTCCCAGAAACAGTGTTTTTCAGTGAACATGAAATAGTATTAGATAGGATGCAAGTGCAATCATAATTATTGTCACAAAAATAATGTTCAGTATGAATAAGAAGCAGCAAAGCACCTCAAATGCAAGTGATACTCGCTGAGTTGCTTAGTGCCTTGCTTTTGCTAAGGCTGGCTTTGAACTTATGATCATCCTGCTTCAGCCTCCTGAGCCACTGGGATTACAGACATGCACCACCGTGCCTGTCTATTTGACTCTTTTGATCTATGAATAATGGCAGCTTCATATGATTCAATATAATACCAAAGTTTATGTATACCTTTATACCATCATTGTTCAGTGCCCCTCTTTAGATGGGGGTAATATTCTCCACTCCTCTCTCTTTGAGACTCATCTGTATATATAGAGAGAGGTGAACATCTTATAAATGGAGGTATAAAAAGGAGAAAAAGATTGAAAACCCATATTCTCTGGGATCACACTGGTGGGAGAAGGTAAATCCTAATATGTGTCCCCTCAGAACTTTTGTAAAAAGAAGAATGTTTTAAGAAATGCTTCCTTTTTACTTCTTTTACCAGCACTGTGTTTCTTTTTGCAGGATAACTCATTTGAATTTGAAAAACGTAGAAATGAACCTGTCAAATACCAGCGAGAACTATGGAATAAAACTAGTAAGTCACAGGGGAATACAAAGAATATTCAGGAGAGACTGGTTTAGGGTGTTACTATAACTTTAAATGTCAGTTTGTTCTTTAAATATTAGGTCTATAATTTTTATTGCTTTGCTTTTAAATGTTTTTATTCTCTTTTTCATGGTTGTATTTATATATTTAATTATGAGCTATTTGAATTCCTTTACAGAGTTGGCTGAGGTTCCATTATAAAAATAATATAAAATTAAATTTGAAGGGCCCACACAGAGGTGTCAAAAACATACAAAACTCTGAAAAAAATAGAGAATGAAAAATAATCTTCAGTTGAGTGTGGCACAGTTAAAATATACATAAAACTCCAAGGCACTTTACCACTTTAGATCATTTAGTTTAGGACTATAAACTGTATTTTGAAGACATTATAAAGTTTAATACTTAAAAAAAAAACCAGACTGGGGATGTAGCTTAGTGGTAGATTGCTTTCCTAGCATACTTAAGGCCTGGATTTCATCTTCAAACTGGAAAAAGAAAAAAAAGTACAGCATTTAAGGTGATCATTACAAATTTTTCTAAGATAACTTGTACGTATTTGACTTAGGTAAAAATGAAACTATAGATTTTACTGAAATTTAAAATAATACCTAGTCTTCCCCACTCTCCACCCTCAAGAAGTAGGCAGACTTTTAATGAAAAAAGTCCTATGTGTGGTAAAACTTAGTCTCTTGAGAGAGCTTGTAGATTCCACTGTTCATGCATGATCAAGGTCACACATAGTCTTTGCCCTCTTTATTGAGTACTCATTAGATAGTAATTGGTTCAGGTATTATAACAGAGTCTCATTCCTAGCCCCACTTATTAATACCTCTGTAAATTAACAATTTTTTACGTTGCTGTACATGTTGAAAATGACAGTTTTTTTGGATATGTTGAGCTAAACAAGATTTATCCTTTTATTTTCACCTGTGTCTTTTTACTTTTTTTTTTTTAAATACAGCTACTGGACAATTTAAAATTACATATGTATTTTTTTTTTTAAATTTTTTATTGTTGGTTGTTCAAAACATTACATAGTTCTTGATATATCATATTTCACACTTTGATTCAAGTGGGTTATGAACTTCATTTTTACCCCATATACAGATTGCAGAATCACATCAGTTACACATCCATTGATTTACATATTGCCATACTAGTGTCTGTTGTGTTCTGCTGCCTTTCCTATCCTCTACTATCCCCCCTCCCCTCCCCTCCCCTCTTCTCTCTCTACCCCCTCTACTGTCATTCATTTCTCCCCCTTGTATTATTTTTCCCTTTCCCCTCACTTCCTCTTGTATGTACTTTTATATAACCCTGAGGGTCTCCTTCCATTTCCATGCAATTTCCCTTCTCTCTCCCTTTCCCTCCCGCCTCTCATCCCTGTTTAATGTTAATCTTCTTCTCATGCTCTTCGTCCCTACTCTGTTCTTAGTTACTCTCCTTATATCAAAGAAGACATTTGGCATTTGTTTTTTAGGGATTGGCTAGCTTCACTTAGCATAATCTGCTCTAATGCCATCCGTTTCCCTGCAAATTCTATGATTTTGTCATTTTTTAATGCAGAGTAATACTCCATTGTGTATAAATGCCACATTTTTTTTTATCCATTCGTCTATTGAAGGGCATCTAGGTTGGTTCCACAGTCTTGCTATTGTGAATTGAGCTGCTATGAACATCGATGTAGCAGTGTCCCTGTAGCATGCTCTTTTTAGGTCTTTAGGGAATAGACCGAGAAGGGGAATAGCTGGGTCAAATGGTGGCTCCATTCACAGCTTTCCAAGAAATCTCCATACTGCTTTCCAAATTGGCTGCACCAATTTGCAGTCCCACCAGCAATGTACAAGTGTACCCTTTTCCCCACATCCTCACCAGCACTTGTTGTTGTTTGACTTCATAATGGCTGCCAATCTCACTGGAGTGAGTATCTTAGGGTGGTTTTGATTTGCATTTCTCTGACTGCTAGAGATGGTGAGCATTTTTTCATGTACTTGTTGATTGACTGTATGTCCTCCTCTGAGAAGTGTCTGTTCAGGTCCTTGGCCCATTTGTTGATTGGGTTGTTTGTTCTCTTATTGTCTAATTTTTTGAGTTCTTTGTATACTCTGGATATTAGGGCTCTATCTGAAGTGTGAGGAGTAAAGATTTGTTCCCAGGATGTAGGCTCCCTATTTACCTCTCTTATTGTTTCTTTTGCTGAGAAAAAACTTTTTAGTTTGAGTAAGTCCCATTTGTTGATTCTAGTACATATGTATTTTGTCTTATTGGATAGTACTGATATACATTCTGGATTATAATTGAACTCATTTTCTTTATAGCCATGACTCCCGTAGACATTTTTCAAAACAGTTGGATTATGGTGGTTGAGAATGTAGCAATATTGATTGGTTCATTTTACCAGTATTTGTCATGACCACACCATATCCCAGGCACTTGAAGAAAAAAATTTTCATGACTAGAAATGTGCTGTCTTTTGTCTATGGAGATTGCAAACTAAGAATGGGAAAAGTTATCAATAATCCAAGCTCTCTGTGTGATAAAATTTGAAAAGCACTGGACTGGTTTAAATATAAGAAAAGTTTAAAAGCAAAGGCTTTGCAAAAAAATTAGAGAAGGTTGACAGTGATGTCAACTAAAAGTATATTCCTTTTTTAGCTTTTTCAGTAAGGATTGTTTTTGCAGTGGATTTTTTTCCACTTAAATTAATCTGTAAATCAATAATAAATGTTCATTAAAGCACTTGTTGATTATAATCATATTGCTTGAATGTACACGTGTTTTCTGATTTTATGAATTTTTTTGTAGTTGATGCAATGAAGAGAGTTGAAGAGATCAAACAGAAACGCCAAGCTAAATTTATAATGAACAGGTATGAATATTTGTGTAGAGTAATAGTAGATATCTAGAAGCATTATTATCTTTCGAGACTTTTTATTTTGACATGACTTAGATTTGCAAAAAACTTTGACGAATAGTATAAAGAACTGTCATATATTCTGATAGCATTTTCTCATATTTACTTAATCTTTGATACTATATGGTAAGTTGAAGATGTAATGCCCTTTTTTCCTGAGTATTCTTTAATAAGAATATTCTCTTCCATAAACACAGTGTAATTATCAAAATCAGGGAGTAAACATTAATGCAAAACTATTATTATATCATCTGTAGACCCTGTTTTAATTTCACTAGTTGTTCTCATAGTGTCCTTCATAGTAACAGAAAAATCCTGGATCATGCATTGCATTTAGTTGTCATATCTCTTTCATCTCCTTTAATCTGGATAGTTTTTTGTCTTTTGTTTGTTTTAATATTACATTGATACTTTTGAAGAGTATAAATTGTTGTATTATGGAACATTCCCTCCACCTTAAAAAAATGTTTTTATTAGTGCATTTTAGTTACACATAGTAGTAGGGTTCGTTTTGACATAATCATATATGCATGGAATATAAGTTGTTCCATTTTAGTCCCCAGTGCTTCATCTTTTCCTCTCTTTCTCCCTCCCTGTCCCTATTTCCCTTTTTTTCTACTCTACTGGTCTTCTATTTATTCACTGTTTTTTCTTTATTTTATGCTCTATAGATTCAAATAGAGGTGGAATTCATTGTGGTATATTCATACACACACAACATAATTTTGTCAGTTGCATTCCACATTTTTTCCTTTTTCCCATCCCTCTTCTTTCCGCCTCAATCCCCTTCCTCTACTCCACTGATCTCCCTTCTATTTTCTTGGGGAAACCCCTCCCTCTTTTCCCACTTACTTTGCTCTAGCTTCTGTAAGAGAAATCATTTGATCTTTAACTTTCTGAGTCTGGCTTATTTTACTCAGCATGATGTTATTCAGTTTCATTTATTTACCAGTAAATGCCATAATTTTAATTCTTCATTATGGCTGAATAAAACTCCATTGTGTGTATATACTGTATTTTTTTTATTCATTATCTGTTTGTGGGCATCTGGGGTGGTCCCCTAACTTGACTGTTGTGAATTGTCATTGATGTGACTGTATTAGTATAGTATGCTGATTTTAGTTCTTCGGGGAAATACCAAGAAATGGGATAGCTGGATCACATGGTGATTCTTCCTAGTCTTTGAGGAATCTCTGAACTGCTTTCCAAAGTGATTATTACTAATTTGCAGGTTTACCAACACTGTATGACCATACCTCATCAGCATTTATTTTTTTTGTATTCTTGATAGTTGCTGTACTGATTGGAGTGAGATGAAATCTCAATGTAGTTTTGTTTTGCCATTTCTCTGATTGCCAGTAATAGTGAACATTTTTTTCATGTATTTTTTGACCATTTGTATTTTTTCTTTTGAGAAATGTCTGTTTAGCTCTTTTGCCCATTTATTGATTGGGTTATTTGGGTTTTTTTGGTTTGCTGTTTTATGGCTAACAAGAAGTTCTAAGCTTCTAATTAGCTTCTAAGAGCTAATTCTCTGCGTTAACCCAATATTAGCTCTTTCTCTGGAGCAAGAACATTTGCTTTTAATCTAATCACTGTGGAAGTCTGTCAAAGCATTGAAGTTTTTAAGTTTTGTGGCTTAAAAAAATGCTAAAACCTATCAGAAAGGGGGCCTGAATATTTGAGAACTAGTTTGTTAGCACTTCTGTTGAACATCACTGGTGTTTGTGCTCTTTTAATTACTGAATGATTAAAGAAAATTACAACACACACAGCTTGTTATTTATTTGAGGAGAAAGATCTAGAGATTTTAACAGATTGTTTTATATAGTAGAGTTGCCATATGTACTTAATAGAAATTGGTGTCCAAAACTTGATAATTTTTTAATCATATCTTTCATTCACTCAGTAAATGTATATTGAGCACCCATTTTGTGTCATACCAGGCACCAGGAGGAATATAGTGAATGAATAAGTGGGTAGTGTTGGATTCCTGTTTAAGCAGGCAGAAACTAGACAATAATATTTTTGAGTTTGATTTGTTGGGGGTAGAAAATGTACATCTTGAGCCAGTGGCGGTAGCATATGCTTGTAATCCTAGCAGCTTGGGAGGCTGAGACAGGAGGATTGCAAGTTCAAAGCTAGCCTCTGCAATAGGTGGGGGAGCACTAAGCAATTCAATGAGACCCTGTCTTTAAATAAAATACAAAATAGAGCTGGGGATGTGGCTTAGTGGCCAAGTTCCCCTGAGTTCACTTCCCGGTACCAAAAAAAGATGTACATCTCTAAGGGTTTAATAAGTGACTTTACCTTTAAATTTGGGAATAGATGCAAGGTAGATGGCAAAGTTCATTGCTTGCCACCTCAGAATAATTTGAAAGACCCTGATAGACTATTCATATGCTCCTTCTGGGTGATGGGAGTAGGGGAAGAAGAAAAGGGAGAGAACAGAAAGGTAATCATCTAGTTTGCATTTCTTATCAGTACGGCTTACTTAATGAAATTTAGTAGCAATACTATTAATTATTGTTTCTTAAAGAAGTTTTTAGTAACTGAAGTTTGGCTTTGATATGTTTTATCCTAGATTGAAGAAAAATAAAGAGCTACAGAAAGTTCAGGACATTAAAGAAGTCAAGCAAAACATCCATCTTATCCGAGCCCCTCTTGCAGGTCAGTACTATATTGCATGGGAGTTCTCTGTTTTTTGTATAGAGATGAAGTGTATATTTTTGTGGTCTATGTAATTGAGTACTTTCTTACGGTATTTTTAAACACTTAAATATTATTTATTGTACATTTATGATATGATTTTATTTATAAAAATATAATTTATTAAGCCAGAGGCTGAGATAGGAGGGTCCACTTGATAAGTTTGAGACCAGCCTGGACGACATAGTGAGACCCTATTTAAAAAAAAAAAAAAAAATCAGTTTTTCTGTTTTGGCCAATCTGTTGCATATGGTGTTTCTTTTTCCTCTTCATAATATCCTGTCTTGCATACAATATTTTTCCCATGTTAAAGTGATCTGAGTAGTAATTTCATAGAAGATTTTTGCCTCACACCTGTTTTGATTATTAGTGGTTCTCAAACTTTGGTGCATATTGGAATGACTTGGAGGAACTTATTATAAATGTAAAGTCCCAGGCTGTTAGTAGATCTCCATGTAATGCTGATACTAAAAGCTGAGGGCTGCTTTTTTGTTTTAAAACCTTGTCTTTGTTATTTATTGTATTTTACTGGTAGTCACTGTTTTGGGCAGTTATTTGTGTGCATAGTATTGAGGTGCATACTCAGCTGGCACCAAGTATAATTTTTTTTTCTAAAAATTTACTTATGTAGGTTATGTAAAGAGAGAAATTTTGCCTAAATCTTATTAATAAAAGGCAAATTCTGAAACTGCATGTAGATTTGTGTAAAAGTCCTACTTAGATTATATTTGTACTAAATTCTATTTAAACAAAGTAGATAAAATTTGTTTTCAGTGTACCCCCAGAACAACAGAAATGAGCCACAGTAACTTTATTTTTAAAAAGGGGTTTTACTGAGGGTGAAATGCAAAATGTCTGTAGATGCTTATTACTTTATGCATTTATAAGATCTAAGATCTGTAAAAGTTCAGCTTATTACTCTTAAATTTCTTAGAATTGGTTAATATTGTAAAGCACATAGGATCCTTTATAAAGTATAAAGGATCACATTGAATTAATTATGTTTTTTTGTTATTTATTTAAAGGCAAAGGAAAGCAGCTGGAAGAAAAAATGGTACAGCAGTTACAACAGGATGTGGACATGGAGGATGTTTCTTAAAAATCTTATTCTATAATTATTTCTATGTGTACATTTGAAAATCTCCTTTGGAGACTTAGAATTTAATTCTAAATAATTTTTATATAAGGTCACTGAAGTGAAAGGTGATTACAAATACTGTTCTCCTACATTGCTATCTGTAAAGCATCAGATTATGGATGTTAGATTGCACCTCATTGTAATGTCTTCATTGATAGACATGCTTATGTAAATCATGAAAATTCTGTTTATAAATGCACAAATGGATTGTGGACAGAATGGTCATGCCTTTTGGATAATGGCACTAGGCAGCATTTATATAATAAGTAATTACAAAAATTCATGGCCAGTGATAGGTAAAATCAAATTTTCTTTGCAGTAAAATGTTCCCTTTATTATGTTATAGAAGGGAGGATACAACAAGGAACTAACAATTTGTATGGCAATCTCGAAGTCTTTAATTTTTATTTTAGTATTTTCTGTTTTGATTTATTAGCCTAAAGGAGCATAATGGCCAAATACCATGAAGCCTAGTTATGCTAAGCTGTTTTGACCTGGTTTACCTGTTCTTGGCAGGTAGTTGTGAGTGTTTGTGAGGAGAGCTGACTAATCTTTACTTGAAATGGCACTATATTATTTCTGCTTTAGAGAATACTCAGTTCTAATTTGTGATTCCTGTTAGAGCAAGCTCCCTTCCTCCTCCCCCTGATGTAGAAGCAAAGAAATCCTAGTGTCTTAAAATTTGTTGTGGAGTTTTCTTTTCTTTTTTTTTTTTTAATTGGTTGTTCAAAACATTATAAAGCTCTTGACATATCATATTTCATACATTAGATTCAAGTTGGTTATGAACTCCCAAATTTTACCCCAAATACAGATTGCAGAATCACATCGGTTACACATCCACATTTTTTTAAAAAACAAGTTCTTAATTGTTATGGAATATAGAATTTATGGGTATAACATCTGCCCATTATTTGTACATGAAATAAAAACATTTTTAGTGTGTGCCTATATATTATTTAAAGATACTAAAAAAAGTATGAGGTATTTTTACTTGGAAGAAAATAACTTTCTTTACACATGCTACTGTATTAGGAAATATAGTTAATTAAAGAGAAATATATGCTTAGTATTTTGTGTTTCTGTACTTTTATATTATTATGACTCTAAGTGTGTTAAGGATATTGAATAATAGGTTATCTTTTTTCAGGGAAGAAATTAGAATACATTACAGATACTTAGGGTAACAAAGTGATGGCTAATTTTTAATTTTAGTGTCAGGTAGTAAAAAATTAATCAGTCTCTGGACCAACTGTTAGAAGACCTGAATTCCAATGTGGTTTTGCCTTTGTGTTCTTATTTATAATAAAAATATGGCATATTTGTAAACAACATTATTGATGTGAAAATTATAGGTGAGGAAAGGTATTTCTTGAGATGTTTTCCTATATACTGTATTTGTTTTAATGAGCATGTTTAAAATTACATACTGTTAGGAAGCAACTTTTCTACCTTCCTATGTAGGGAGGAAGCTGCTGTTGCTTTGAGACAATCAGTTTTGGAAATTGGTTGAATTGAAGAACTGATGTACTTAGGTTTAGCATCCTGACAGTTCTCTGCATCCTCAGGATTTCACAGTATTTTGAGAACCCAGATCTCATTCTAAACTATATGGATTTACATGCCACAGTTCTATCTCTCCTTTCCTCTGAGTTTGGTTGGATCACTGAGAAGAGTTGGCTAACCCTTTAAAAACATGGCTTATGCTTGCATGGTATGATACTTTTAGGCTGCTGCTATTTCAGCTTATCTGGCTGAGACCTCTGCTGAGCAGTTAGCATAACCCAAAAGTATCAAATTTTCTCGACACTTCCTACACACTTTTATATTCTTTATTTGTTTAAGAAAATATAGGATTGGAATCATGGGAAGGGATATCCTTCCTACATTCCTTCTGATACTTTTAAGAATGTAGAAAGAAAACTTCCATGTTAAAACAATTTCTTGAAAATAGAAATCTTGGCTGGTAGCACACTTGCCTAGCATGTATGAGGCACTGGGTTCAATTCTTAGCGCCACATATAAATAAATAAAGGTCTATCAACAATTAAAAAAATATTTTTTTAAAAATAGAAATCTTAAGAAGGTGTTTATCCAGTAGATAGGAATTCAAGAAGGGCCAGTCCACTTCACAATATCCCACAAAGTAGATATCGTGATTTTCATTTTGTTGATGAAAAAATTTGAGGTCTTTACCACACAGCTAAAAAGATGGAGGAGATAGGGACTTGTGTTCATATAAGTCTGTTTACAGAGTTGCTCTGCTATACATGGAAAGGACTTATTCAGTCTCACATGATTGCTAACAGAAGACTCTGCAAGTTATTTGAGTAACATTTAACTTGATTTTGACTTAGTTTCTCTATCTGAAAAATATAATAATGGGCTCAACCTTAGGATTGTAAGAATTCAATTAGGAAATGTACTTCAAGCCACCACCATAGTAAATTAGTTAAAATATTAGCTTTTACACCTATTGTGTGAATTCACAGCAGCAGTTGACTCTGACTAAGGACAGAGGTGGAGGTATTAGGGTTTGGGATAGCTGTGGTTAAATTGAGTATGGTGTACTTAATCCCAATGTCAATTCTAGTCTTTAAATTAGCCAGAAAGTTAAATTTCTATGAAGAGCATCTTGTTTCCCATTCTTTGAAGAGTGGGAGAGGGAGTACATTACTGGTTCCTCTTAGTAATTTAAAAAGATGAATATCCATAATTTTAGGGGGTGATTTAAGTAATATAAGGGATATTCTTCCTCCCTCCCTGTCCTTCAGCTTATGTTTTAAAAGGAGATCTGGGAAAAGGCATCAGTTTACTCTCTCATAGATTGTGTCAATTCTAATATGAATGAGGACTACTTTGTAAAAGTTAACATAGTAGCTTGCTGAATTAAGTGTATTCAAAGATAAGGGGGGAAAATCAATATTAACTCATTTTGTATCATCCCAGATGTGGAATACCTATAAAAACTTCAATACAGTATATGATGTACAATATATAATTACATAATGATTATTAGTGTTAATATATGTAAGCTCTAGATTATAACTTCCTATCTATTTTAATGTACCCGTGTCAGTTTCATTGAGATATTCAAAGAATTGAAAAACGTGGGCCTTGTTGGGTTAAAAAAAAACAACTTGGTTTCCAGGGCTCTGAAGGAGTTTTCTGAAGTCTGTGTTCCTTTATTAACATATAGCAAGTGACCTACTTGCTTGTCTTTATGCTGAGTGTATCAGTCAGCTTCTTGTTGATTTGAATCATTTTTTACATCTGTTGGTGAAATGTTTAAAGAGAGAAATAACTCTTATGCCTTCTGGTGTCATGGGGTAAACCTCTGAATTAAGCTGTTCCAAGTGAACACTCTCCCTAGGGTTTTAATGTTTATCCTTTGAAGTTATCAGGGGTTGGAGTTAAAGCTTCTGCCACATGATCTTCCCTGGAGTACTGGTTGCCTATTCTCTTTTTCTAGCCTTCCAGTGATTCTGTGGCACCCTATAATCCTGCTAATAAATTTCTTTTTGCCAAAGTTTACAACCCAAAATCTTGACTGATAGACATCCCCTCTTTAGGAAAGCTAGGCAACCCATTTCTATGGTAATCATCCAGCACATGGGGACTGTCTTATCCCAGACACATTAAGGTACCAAGATGGAAAGTGCTCAATAAATATTGACTAAATGAAAAATGAGGGTGTACTGAGTTTACTTCAGTCTATTTTATAAATAATCAGTAACTTGAAAGACATAAGGAATAAGTTATAGTAGACACTAAAAGGGAAGCAGCCTGTGTGACTGACTTGCCTGCATTGTTGGAAAGGCTTGCTGAGGGAGAACAGTTTGAGCCTTGGGTTGCATACCTGCTTTGTTGGTTAAATCTATGTCTAATGGGGATAGTCTGAAGCTATATTTCTGGGACTGTCTGGAACATTCAAGGAATCCTAGGAAAGACAGCATGAAGTGTTTTGGGCACATTTCTTAACATTTGTCTGAATCTTGATTTGTTATCAGAATAGTCCCTTATTTCAGGAGTCAAGAGTCTAAAAGTAGAAATAAAGAAAACTAGTTGGGGGGAAATCTCAGATATTACCAAAAAGTATAGACTGGTCCTTTTGTATTGTTTTTTAAATTGATGCAAAATATTTATTCCAAGTAAGTTATTTTATGCAGTGGTTTTTCCCCTCAGCAGACTTGTGATAACCACATCTTTTAAATCTGTAAATAATGTTATCAAAATAATCTTTGAAATCTCACAAAAATTTATATTTTACAATCCACCCTGAATATCAAGGCTGCAAGAATAACACAACATTTCCTATATCCAAATATTTTCAGCTGTACCCAAAAAGGAAAAAGAAAACAAAAACAAACAAAAAACCACATATGTTTTGTTAAGGGCTAAAGTTACCTGAGCAGCCAAAAATAAAATAAAATATCCAAATTATTAGCATTAATTTAATACAATTATAACTTCAATAGTCACTTTGTCATTGACAATGATTGCTTGAACACAGGGGTGAGTGCCCCAAGGGCTGGTAGTAGACGCTGTTGCTGCAGACCAGTGTCTCCTCCTCTCTGCATTTCTGCACTGCCAGCTGCCATCTGTGCATCGCCCCATATGTACTGTGTGTGTGTATTTAAAAAATCTTTCCCACCACCCAAACTTCTATTAAGCAGGTAACAGGGAAGAACACAACATAAGCTAAACAAGCCAACTGCTCTTTCTTTGGGATATGATTATTTCCCTTGTGCATGAAATATTCAACAACATAAGAAAAGGAAAAGAACAATTTCTTTTGTATATTTCCTAAACACACAAGCTGAGTTTACAAAGTCAGATTAACTGTGAGCATTTATATGCCTACTTCCAGGCATCGTCATCTGATGTTTCACTGCTACTCGTTTCTGTGTCTGAGTCCTCAAACTCTGCTTTACAAGTGCTTCTCCAAGGGGAGAATAGGCTGGAACAGCGGCTCTGCAAGAAGCCATTCTTTCTGAAGCCATTTCTTCTCAGCTGCTCTGTCTTCATATGGAACTCTTTTAGTTCATCCTCTGTGAGAGGAAGCAATTCTCATCATTTTCAGGATATTCTTGCCATCCCATTGATTTCAATAATCTGTGCTCTGCTTCCAGAGAGTGTGAAAGGACCGCCCCCTTCTACTACAGGGAGAGAGAGACCATTCTGAAGACAGCCTTCCTCCCCATTTTCCTTTGGTTCAGGTGTGCTGTTGTCCTCCAAATCCTCCAGCTTGTCACAGTCTCTGTTCTCTGCAAAGTCTCCATTTCAGTCATCCTTCAGAGTCTTTAGGAATTCACTCTTCCTGTCAGTGGTTTGGCTGGTCAACTTAGAGGAGAGGAGCTGATCTCAATTGGAGGGGTAATGCTGGAGGGACTCTCTTTGGGAGAGCTGAGAACTGCGCCACCAGCCAGTACCACTGGTTTGGTAACAGAAATTGGATTGGTAAATGACTCCCGGCCAGAGGAAAGGGATCCTGATTTGTGTTCCATTCTGCTAGATTTCCATGCATTGGGCTTGGAAAGAGGTGGTGCAGGCTTAGGAACCAAGTTTTTATAGACACTTGGAACCATAGTTGATGATTTGTTCCCATTTGCATGGTGAGATCCTGGTGAGGTGAATGCAGCAGAGAAGACAGCAGCAGGATCCTCTTTGGAAACTTTTTT